GGCGCCGCTCCTTCCTCCAACGAACCCATCGACGGTGCCTGAAGCAGCGGAAGAATAAATTTCTCACCTCACCCTCGCCCTCACGACGCCGTCTCACTGTCAAACGCCGTGTTTGCCTGTTGCTTGCTGCTCTTTGACTGGCTGCCCTTACGCCCGTCTCCTTGCACCAAAGTCCGCACTGTTAGTGGGGCAGACCCTTTAGGAGGAAAACAACACGTGAACTAGGCCTGTCTACGCTCGACCTTCTTTCGCTTCAAATTCCCTCCCTACGACGGACGCCCTCCGCAACCTCACCACTCCCTGCCTTCCTGCCGCACCACCTTCTGCTTCTCCCGCCACCGCGGCCCTTTAATTCTTCCCACCGCCAGATACCCCGCCTGAATCTTTGAAGCACCCTTCAGCAGTTATGGATATCAACCAGGTGTTGGAGGGGACCTACTCCGCCGGTATGCTGCCTTTGCTGAGACCCGCACTTTTCTAGAAGCTCGACTGACCCTTCTGCAGACGCTAGCATCCGTAACAGCGCCGAGCAACAGCTCATCCAGGCTGCCGACTCCGACTTTGTGAGTCCCCCGCTGCCAGAAGGCTGCATGCCCCCCGAGACATAGCCAGAACATATCCACTAACACGTCTACCACCAGCCTCAATACCTCACCGTCCTCGGCGGCGAACTCGCAAATGAACAAGCCGCGCCCCAGATCCGACAGGCCGCCGCCCTCGCCCTGAAGAACGCCTTCACCGCTCGCGAGTATGCCCGGTTACGTCAGGTTCAAGAACGATGGCTCAGCCTCGACACCCAGATCAAGCAGCAGGTCAAGGACATGGCCCTGCGGACTCTGGCCACACCCAACAAGAATGTAGGCTCCGCCGCTGCACAGTTCATCGCCTCCGTGGCTGCTATCGAGATACCCCGCAATCAATGGCCGGAGCTCATGACCTCGCTCGTCGAGAGTGTCGGTCAGGGCAGCGACGCCCAAAAGCAATCTTCGCTTACCACAATCGGTTTCGTGTGTGACACAGACGATGTAGAGTTGAGGGACGCGCTAGCACAGCACTCCAACGCTATCCTGACGGCTGTCGTCCAGGGTGCCCGCAAGGAGGAGGCCAACAACGACGTCCGTGTAGCCGCCATCAACGCGCTCAGCGACTCGATCGAGTTCGTCCGCTCCAACTTTGACAATGAGGGCGAGCGCAACTACATCATGCAGGTCATCTGCGAAGCCACACAAGCGGACGACAGCCGCATCCAGCAGGGCTCGTACGGATGTCTCAACCGCATCATGGGTCTGTACTACGACAAGATGCGCTTCTACATGGAGAAGGCGCTATTTGGTCTTACCATCCAAGGTATGAAGAGCGAGGAAGAAGATGTTGCCAAGCTGGCTGTCGAGTTCTGGTGCACCGTCTGTGAGGAGGAAATCGCTATCGAGGACGACAACAGCCAAGCTCAAGCCGAGGGCTCCACCGAACTCCGCGAATACTTCAACTTTGCCCGAGTTGCTACACAAGAGGTCGTGCCAGTGCTTCTCGAGCTTCTCGCCAAGCAAGACGAGGATGCCGACGACAACGAGTACAACACCTCCCGCGCAGCATACCAATGTCTGCAGCTCTGGGCACAGTGTGTCGGTAGCGGCGTTATGCCCCCTGTTCTTGCTTTCATCGAGAAGTACATCCGCTCAGAAGACTGGCACTACCGTGATGCGTCCGTTTCCGCCTTTGGTGCCATCATGGAGGGTCCCGAGGAGTCTGTGCTAGACCCCATCGTTAAGCAAGCTCTGCCTACTTTGATCGGAATGATGGACGACCAGAACATCCACGTCAAGGACTCCGCCGCATACGCCTTGGGCCGTATCTGCGAGGCGGTTCCCAGCGCACTCGACGCACAGCAGCACCTGCCTCCCCTGATCGGAGCTCTCTTCAATGGTCTCGCCAGCAACCCTAAGATGGCCGCATCGTGCTGTTGGTCGCTGATGAACTTGGCCGACAGGTTCGCGGGAGAGCCCGGTTGCACAACCAACCCATTGTCGCCCCACTTCGCCCAGAGCGTGCAGAGCCTCTTGCAAGTCACCGAGCGCGCTGATGCCGACAACACGCTCCGCACAGCCGCATACGAAGTACTCAACTCCTTCGTCAACAACGCCGCTGGTGACAGCGTTCCTCTCGTCAACGAGCTCGCCAACGTCATCCTGGAGCGTCTGGAGAAGTCCATGGCACTCCAATCGCAGGTTGTCAACGTTGAGGACAAGCTGACTCTCGAAGAGATGCAGACTAGCTTGGCTAGTGTCATCATGGCGATCATCCAGCGTATGGAGAGCGATATCAGGCCCCAGGCCGACCGTATCATGCAGGCGCTGCTGAGCCTACTTTCATCTCTGCCTCCCAAGTCCAGTGTGCCAGACACTGTCTTTGCCGCCATTGGTTCGATCGCGACGGCTCTCGAGGAGGACTTCCAGAAGTACATGGAGGCTTTCTCACCATTCCTTTACAACGCCCTCAACAACCAGGAAGAGCCCGCACTCTGCTCCATGGCCATTGGACTGGTATCTGACATCACTCGATCTCTGGGCGAGAACGTCCAGCCATTCTGTGATGCCTTCATGAACTCGCTTCTCCACAACCTCCGCAGCCCTCAACTTGGCAACCAGCTCAAGCCAGCTATCCTGCAATGCTTCGGTGATATCGCACATGCCATCCACGGCGCGTTCGAGACTTACCTGACTGTTGTTGCTCAAGTGCTGCAACAAGCTGGACAAGTCACATTGACCACTGAGGGCAACTACGAGATGATCGACTACATTACCTCTCTCCGTGAGGGTATTATGGATGCATGGGATGGGTGCATCGTTGCCATGAAGAGCAGCAACAAGAGTAAGTTTTGTAATCCAAGACGTTGATCACACACTAACAGTTCCAGCTCAACTCATTGTCCCATACCTTGACTCCATCTTCGACCTTCTCCGCACTATCCAAGCAGACAGCAACCGCACTGAGGCTCTCCTCCGATCTTCATGTGGTGTTATCGGGTATGTACAGGTGTCCCTCTTTCAATATATCCCACTAACATCATTTAGTGACCTCGCGGATGCGTTCCCAGCTGGTGACTTCCGGGAGTACTTCCGTCACGAGTTCCTCACCGCAATGGCGAGGGAGACACGCGCCAACCAAGACTTCAGCGGTCGAACCCGAGACACTGCTCGATGGGCACGTGAACAGATCAAGCGTCAAGTCGGTACGTCGCTCGGCTACAACCCCTACCTCCGCCCCGCCCCTCTCTAGTGAAATCGACATCCCCACCTTATATATATACTCCAGCCCACTGACTTCCCCTTCCCAGGCGGCAACCAAGGCGTAATGGCCTGATTGTCTTGATACCCCTTCCCTCCCCCAGCACTGCTCGAACCTTGTGTTGGCCAAGATGTTGGATAACCTCCCTGGAGGTACCGTCTAGCATGTGGCTAAAGCATAGGTTCTAGCTCCCCCTCGCGTATCCCAGCACCTCGAAGCACAGTACGGAGCCCATCCGTTCGAAGAATGTCGTCGCGCACGGAACTTCGCTCCCCCGGGGTCATCGGTCTACGTCCCTCGCACTTACCCGGAGATCCTTGATAGAGCAGCGTCGTCGCATGCGTCCCAATTCGGAGGAGGAGGCGGAGTCGTTTCGTCGTACAACCATGGCACCAGATTCGGACATTGGGAATTGGTCAATGGTGTCTCAACCTATTGTCCACCCGCGGAAAAGACTCCAGGTGGCTGCGGTCATCCCGAATTTGCCTAAAGTCGACACGAAACGAATCCAGCACCCCGACCCCGCGACTCCCGACCCCAGCACCAATGCGCATCTCCCCCCGTCGAACCCGAATCGCACAGCACCCTCTCCACAACCCAATCATGTAGCACCAAAAGTCTTGTAAGGCAAAGATCAAAAGCTGTTATAGCTTTTTCTTTCTAGCCAAGGAGAATAATAGATTCATTCCCATCCACCCCCTTTTTTTGTACACTCACTTCTTCTTTCTCTCCCCCTTCGGGGCCTTCGGGGCTTCAACTTCCCAATCATAACATTGGAAATAGGCGTTTATACCACTTTGACTGCTTTGTTTGAGAAGTGGTTTGTTTCTGTGGAATGGGTATATTTGCTGGCCGGTGGTTTATAGTTGTAATGATTACTGCGTAGACTTGTATGTTGCAGTGTGTTGATGTCGTGATGTGAGGGCGTGTGCGCTTGAACGTCGGTTTCTGGTGTGTCATCATCATACGTGGAGAGATGAGCCATTGTAAGCGTATATATTGTTCTCGCTATTCTGAGTTCGAGTTTGATAGTGGACGCCAGATGACTTGTCAAGCCACTAACTGGCCTTTCGATGATACACATACCGACTTGAGGTCGCACCTAGGCACCCGTGGACCGCTGCTGGAGTCAGGTGTTGACAGGCTACCTAGGCTTGCGCAGCTCCGCTGTTGGATCACGTCTCATGCGCGCAGCCTGGTGTTTCAGTTCTGCGGAGCCCAGCTGATTCTGACATGGCTACAATGCGGGGTCGATTCGATGGATCTACTGCGCGTTGGGTACTGCTGAGTGTCTGGGATGGTACTGTTGTATGATTGGGTGGTTGAGTGGGTGCATGTCTGCTTTCTGGGGAAGTCGAGTGATAGTTTAGTCCGTTGTAGATGAATGTTTGCCTGTCGGATTAAGATCGTCCCAGTAATTTTGGCATCGGCCTCTTTCTCATCCCTTCTATTATCTAATAGGCAGAGTTAGTTATTATGTATCTCGTGTGTGCTGCGGAAGCTGTAAGTGGCTCTTGTGTGTGTGTTGCGGAAGCTGTAAGTAGCTCGTTGTATATGGGTTATCGCGGTACTATGGGAGAGATATCGACATCGATAGAGACTGCTCAAACCTACTCAAGCCGTAAGTTCATCTACGTTAATCCGTAAGGCGCATATGAGCAGTATGAAGAGGGTGTGATATTTCAGCACAATGGCTAAGCGTTATTCATTGCACTTTACTTCTTCCATGTACCTCTCCAAATCATCAAATCTTGAAATGTTCTGACTGCAGTGATGCCTGTAAAGACGTCCTCCTCATGTAGCTTTGAACAGACCCATCGATTTTCCACCAGCCCTTGCACTCGAGTCTGAGCTATAGCACTCTCGTCCAGATAGCGTTTCCATGGTTCCTCCCAAGTTTGCATAGTAGCCTCAAGATCTGACAGATCTTCGTAATGGACCCGGTATTTTTCTAACAATGCCTTCATTCGTTTGCCTGCGGTCTGCGAGAGACTGGGAAGTCCTCCCGACCAGTTAAGGCCTCCACGTTCCTTGTGCTCCTTTGGGAACTCAAAGAGCAGCCATTGCTGATATTGTCCGAGATCGATATCCAATCCTTTCAGATCCTTCTCGTCCAATGCGATAAGATCACCCCAGGATGCACCACCAATCCGTACGACGTCGTGTAATCGTTCGTGGTCGGCATCTGTTTCTGCTTCCGTAATCGCTTTCTCAAGCATTCTTTGAGCTTTCTTCTTCCTCCTCTCGTAGTTGTCATCTGCATACAGCATGGGTAGTTCCACATCGAATATACCGATTAGACAGTAGGCAGCATCTTCTGGAACCGTTGTGATGCGGCCCTCGGTCCAAGACATACGCTCCTTCTTGCTGAAGCGCGATAGTTCCAATCCTTCGAGAGCTGGACCGGGAATTCGAGTAACTTTACTAATCGTGCCCGCTAATTCATCTTTGTCGCCTAGGAAGCGGCTTTCTTTGGAGTAAAAGCGAACAGAACTTGGTGCGATCAGTTCTTGAAGCGTCCAGCCACGTTTGAACCACCTGCTCTTCGAGAACGCGCTTTCCCACTTGGATCCAGAATCGCCAGTGGAGTCGTCAATAGATACATCTGAAAGATACACATAACATCTGGCAGCTCTCTGATACCAGTAAAACATGGAGGCCAGTGACCGTTGCAACTCAGTGTTGTCCGACTTGTTGATGCAGCAAGTGTCTATCCAGAAGTATACGAGGCCATCCCTCTCCACTCTCTCCTGACAGAAGCGGAGTTTCTCGTAACCTGGCTTGCTGGTGTCGTCCTTTCCCCGCTGTCCAGATTGGATATCTTCGAACTTCACCTCATCTTTGTCGAGCCCCCAGGTATGCGAAAGGATAGCGTAGAATGGAACCTCTCTTGGAAAGTCATGAAGAACCCACTTGAGACTTTTCGAATCAAGTCGTAGAAGACGCATTATTGGATATGACCTCGGGATTGAACAGACTGGAAGGCTGCAGAGATGGCGATGGTCGGGATTATCTTACCCCGCAGACCTGAGCCAGGGCCAGACCGAAGTCTGAATCAAAGGCGCACGGTTATTTCCGAAAACCAACGCGCTTTCCGGAAACCTTGACCGGTCCGGCTGAGCGATCCCAAAAGGTGAGCGTGGCCCAATCGTTTAGGGTCAGCAGCCACGACGCAGCCAACAAAGCATGCAGCACCTTTGAGTTGCACCCACTTTCGTCTGATTGGATGGCTGTTTCGCCTAACCTTGTAATCGTCTCACGAATGCACCGCTCAATAAGACAAAGTTGAAGAGAAGCTGGTCTCAGTCAGGAGTGGGAGCTGAAAATAAGCTGAAAGAGGGCGCATCGGCTCCCTCGTTTTGGACCTCTGTAGGCTCTGTTCTAAACTGTCTCTTGAGATCGAACTCATGTCCACATGTTTCCGAGGTTTGGACTTTTGGTTATAAGATTAGGTTCTTGAGATCGTTTCCCTCTCGGCGAGCTGCTGATGTCGACGATTCATCGACGCGGGTCGACTGTCGAGGCTGATCAGGCTAGCGCTTCAGCTAAGCTACCCGCGTATGAACTCTAACACATCTATCCCCCAAGGCCAGTTTCTATTTTTCACATATCGGCATTCTCATCTTACGATGTTTCCGATGAACGGCAGGGCGGAGGCAGCCGGGCATGTTGATGGTACCGTTGCCCTCGCAGGCCTATCTAACAGCGCAGTTGACTGTTTCTACAACAGACTCATAGATACGACAGCGTGCGCTCGACAATGCAAGGCTCTGCCTGTTGCGCTAGGGCAAGTCTCTGGATCTGGATAAGATTCTTTGCCATATACCTTCGGTGGCGCATCGGAGTTACGGCACGTCAAGTCTTGCATCGTGGAGGTTTTGACATTGCCGTGCCACCTGGGCATTAAGAGACGCTCGTATCAATAAGTCACCCTACCCCACATCAACCGAGCATTGGCGCAACTACCATTACAGCGACAACACTGCGAACCCAACAGACACTTGCGACAATCTCCCAGGCGCAACATGGGCGCGAAATCAGATTGCACTCAGGGCATCGAAAAATCACAATCGACTGATGTCAACACAAATGCCAACGTGGACAAGGACAACGTCGACTCTGACGAGACACCACCAATCTACTACGACGCCGAGCCATCAGCCCAGCCACCAAAATACCCTGATAACAAATCCACTTCACCTACATCACGACCCACGCCCACGAAACAACACAGCGGCGCACCCGCAAGTACCCTCGCAGCAGTTCTCGGTTCCGAATACACCGATTTAGATGCTCAGCGGCGAGCAGACCGCAAGAAGAAAACGCTTCGCGAGCGCTGGAATGATTTCAAAGAGAGAAACTTTGGCGACTTTGATCTGTCTGAAGACAGGGCTGCAGCGGGGAGTGCGGCTGAGTGGAATGTGCAGGGTGGGAGGCTGAAGGGAGGAATGACAAGTCCGTATCGAAGGAAGGGGAAGTAGAATGATGGATTAGATCGCGCTCAAAGTGGTGGTTGGAAGGCAGTTTGCCTAGTGAGAGAGAGCGGCTTGGTTGGCGCTGCTATAATTGAAGGAGACACCTGGGCACTCTATCGCGAAGTTGAATCCGCTCTTAGCGGGGAGATGTTTTGTATAACGGGGACATGCTCATGGAGGGAGGCAGTGAATAGAGTATCCGACAGGCAAGATAGCGAGCGATCGGCAGTGGTCTGCCGAGCGTGGGCGCTTCCAAGGTTCTGTTCGCAAGGTGCTGTTGGGGCCCGTGGCGTGAAACACAGTCTAACCTGTGCAGAGATCGACTCAGCTTAGAAGGGGAGGTGGCTAAAGAATCAGCATGCATACTGCGACCTTTTACTACCTGGGAACATGTTCGGCATGCATATGTTCTTGCTCATGCGCACGGGTGCGGCTGGACCCTCCCGAAGAACGAACGTGGTCCAATCACACGGGAGAGACACCCACCATGTTCGTCGGCGACGCACGCTGCACTGCAAAGACTACGCTGCTTCTGCTTCTGCATCCTTTTGTTTGGATGTCGTTCGTCTGAATCTACAGTGCTCTCGTATATGCGTCGCCTAATATGGGCGGCTGGGAAATAGGAAGCTGATCTCCAGAGTGAGAGCTGAGTGACGGCGGTTCAGCTACAGTACCCTTTGGCGAGCCTTCTCGCGCTGCGTTCAGAAGCCATGCTCTTACTTCTGATGCGCAGGCTTGGATCCAACGTTGCAAAAGTGAGTTAGCAGGATCAGACTCGTCTTCATGAGCGTCAGATTCCAACGGATTAGCGACAGTCTTAGTACTAATCCCAAGGCCCTCTCATACAAGGAAATCGCTAAACAGATTCGCAGACTAGATCAAACACAGAACTTGCGAAGTAGGTTACCTAACGTCAACATAGGCTCTAGGGTGTCCACCGTGTCCTAGGTTGGTGTGAGGGCAGCCCTGAAAACAACCGCTGAACTTTGATTGTAAGGCGCGAAACATCAAGTCCCTCATCTAGTCGATGACGACCGACTCCGAGCCACTAATGGAAGGATCGATGTCAAAGCATTCCGCCGAGAACCACGCGGTTGTGGACAGAGTTGAGCGACCATGCGAGGAGTGCGCATCGCTCAATCTCAGCATCGAAAAGTTCGTTATTGAGGACGACAAAGCAGCAGAGATACGCCCGTCGCTCGATTCCTTGCGATTGGCTAATGAAAGGTTTCGTCTGGGAACCCTTGACAGCATTACTGAGAGAGCAGGAACTTGCCCTCTCTGCCGCCTCGTGGTAAACTCCATCGCGAAGGACTTCTTGAGGGATGTCGATGCTACTAAGGCGATATGCCATCTCACATGGGAGATGGACGGCCGTCTTTCCGTCGACCCCAGACGCGCACTGGGAGAGAAGCGAACCCGTCGACTGAGAGTCACATGGAGCGATGCATCACTCAAGGCCTTCGAATCCTACCTCGTGTTAGCAGCACCAATCAAGTACGCCAATTCCGATCTCGACTACCCTAAGCAGTTGAACAAGGAGACGCAATTCCTCGGTCGCCGCTTCGGTGCAACGGAGAACAAGAAAAACCTCATCCGCGAATTCGTGAGGTTATGCGAAACGAATCACGACCGCCGATGTACCCGAAAGATTGGCATCGAGAACCCATTCCTTGAGACGTTGATGGAACCATACTTCGGCGTCATCGATATCGAGAACGATCGCCTTGTTCCTTTGCCGTTCGAGGAGACGGATGAGCGTCTTGAATTCGAAGCTTATGCGGCTGTGAGCTATGTTTGGGGAGACACCGGCATGATGGACTACCGAACGAAAATTGAGAACATACAAAGTCGGCGAAAGTCCGGTGGTCTGGCTGCCATTATACGGAAGCTTCCGAAAGCTCTCGCGCAAAGCATTCGTCTGGTGCATGACCTGGGGATCAAGTATGTTTGGATTGATGCACTGTGCATAGTGCAGGATAGTAGCCACTCTTGGAATCTCAATGCAAGAGCCATGCATCTCATATACGGCAACGCGATGCTCACGATCTGCGCTGCGGATGGTGAGTCGCAGACGGGTTTGCTGGCCCTGGATGAAGACCAACGGCCTCAGCAGCAAATCGGAGTCTATGCGGAGGGTGTGCATCTGATCTTGCACCAACCACCTGAGATCAGCATCCAGACGTCCAAGTGGAACAAACGCGCTTGGACGTTCCAAGAACGACTGCTCTCCAAACGTTGCTTAATCTTCACCAGAGGTCAAATTTACTTTCAATGTCGCTCTACTGGTATGTCAGAAGATATCTTCGCGGACGGGAAGGGTAGAGGATGGTCGCTGGACTTGGTACAAGCTCCTCTCCAGATGCTCACCGAGCTCAAGCAACGTGGCATGTGGTTCTATGCCCACTGCGTATACCTATACACATTGCGCGAGCTTTACGAACCGCTGGACATTCTGGCAGCGTTCAGTGGAATGTGTAAGTTGATGGAGGGCACAATGCAGGCGCCCTTCGCTTTCGGGCTTCCAACATCGCATTTCGATCTCGCCCTTTTGTGGGAGCCCGTCGACCTCTTGGCTCTACTAGACTACAAACGGGTGTCGGAAGAACCAAAGTACAAAGACATCAAATTCCCCAGCTGGTCGTGGTGTGGGTGGAAGAGCGATGGAATACAGTACAAACCGCAGATGGTTGATGGGTGTCTCTCCGATGTCCAGGCTTGGCTGTTAGGCCACACATGGATTGACTGGCATATTCGAGATGGCCATGGAACACTTCGTCGCCTTTGGGACAGAGAATGCTCCTTCACTGATCGGAGTACTGACGATAAATGGAGAGGGTACAAGGCACCTGTACGACCGGCAGACGAGCCTACTATGTCTGCGCCTAACGGGAGCGATGAACAGAGCAGTGCCGAGTCTACCTCTACTGCGACCAAGCAAATGAGGAGAAAAAAAAGGACACGATTATCGACGGGTACTTCCAATCGTCGAAGCTCAAGCAGCTTTAGCAAGAAAGACGTGGAGCGCATGAGAAAGACCCACAAACGCATGTCCGAGGACGTAGCCGAACGCGAAGGCTATGATAGTTACGGTCGACCGTTGACAGGAAGTCCACCGGATGGAATACAATACCGAAAACAACTGGAGTTCCGGCTGACCTTGCCCGAAGATCCGTATCACGTTAGGATCTCGGATTCCAACCAACCCGTCGAGGGTCTAAAAGAGTTCCCAGACCAGCCATTCCTGCAGTTCTATACTTGGCGGGCCTCTTTTCACGTCGTACGATCTAATGAGTCCGAATTCGAGGAGGAAGATGTCGGAGCAACGAGAGCTCGCTGCCACATCACAGACCGGCGGGGCGAT